ATTTGCCGCTGTACGAGTACAGTTTGATGACGTTTGGATCCTTCTATAGAAGCCTCAATAAAGACCGTACAAGAACGTTTCAGGGGAAAAAAGAATATAGATTAAAATAAATAACACATAGCAATTACACTATACGGTGTAAAAGTATAGGAGGAATATTACACATGAATCATTGGAGGAGATAAATTACTGCAGCTGAGAAAAGCCTCAGTTGATACTGCATGAAATTATCAGAAACAGCAATATTGCCCGGTATAATGGATTACAGGGAATGCAAAGGAGGTACTGAGATAAGTGGGAAAGCAGCATTAGCATACAGTCAACATGGCTGAAACTCGGGCTGGGCGATATCATATCAATATTATATCGCCCAGCCCTAGCTTAAACCAAAACAGTTAAAGTGTATGTAGTGTCTGCTGTGTGTAGTGTGGTTAAGTCTCAGTTCAGTTCAGTCTGGTGCTGTTGTGAGAGGGGGGAGTGGGCCCAGTGTGTTTAGCAGTGTGATTTGGGGTAGAAGGCAGTCAGGGCTCTGCAGTGCTTGCCAGATGGCAGAAGGGTGAAGTGGTGTCACTGCAGATGTTCCTGGCTTTGCAGTTACAGCAAGTTCTGAGGGATTCCTCCAGGGTAGGAAGCTGTGAGCCAGTGATCCTCTGGGCTGTACTGATGATGCGCTGGAGGGCCTTCCTGTTCTCAGGAGCTGCCTGGGTACCGTGCTGTGATGCGGTATGTGATGATGCGCTGGAGGGCCTTCCTGTTCTCAGGTGCTGCCTGGGTACCGTGCTGTGATGCGGTATGTGATGATGCGCTGGAGGGCCTTCCTGTTCCCAGGTAGTCACTTTGATAATTACCGATTCTAATTGGGCTACAGAGACTTCACACTGGCTCAAACGTAAAGGAAGGCTGGAAAATCAGCAGCTCTCTGACCTTCATTTGACAAGTGCAGTGCAATACCCATGACAACACCTGCCTGTGCTAGTGATGCCTCCCTACCAGTTGCGCTGAACAACTTCTACTCACGGTTCGATGCTCAGAACGACGTGATGGTGAGGAAGTCCACCACTCCTCACAACGACCAGGTTCTGTGTCTAACCATGGCTGATGTGAGGATAACTCTTCGCAGAGTTAACCCACGGAAAGCTGCTGGTCCAGACAACATCCCTGGAAGAGTGCTCAGAGAATGTGCAGACCAGCTGGCAGATATCCTCACTGACATCTTCAACCTCTCACTGAGTACTGCTGTCGTTCCATTGTGCCTCAAGGCCACCACCATCGTTCCCGTGCCAAAGAAGTCCTCAGTGTCCTGCCTCAACGACTACCGTCGTGATGAAGTGAGAGGCTCGTCATGAGGCACATTGAAACCGTGCTGCCCCCCTCTCTGGACCCACTGCAGTTTGCCTATCGCCCCAACTGGTCAACAGATGATGCCATCTCCACCACCCTACATCTGGCCCTCACCCACCTGGAAAATAAGGACAAATATGTACGAATGGAAACCTCCCTCTGCAACTAGATCCTGGAATTTCTGACTGAGAGACGTTAGTCTTGGAAACCGCGTCTCCAACACCACCACACTGAGCACTGGAGCCCCCCAGGGTTAGGATTGGAAACCGCGTCTCCAACACCACCACACTGAGCACTGGAGCCCCCCAGGGCTGTGTGCTCAGCCTACTGCTGTTCACTCTGCTGACTCACGACTGTGCAGCAATGCACAGCTCGAACCATGTCATCAAGTTCGCAGATGACACGACCGTGGTGGGTCTCATCAGCAAGAACGATGAGTCGGCATGCAGAGAGGAGGTGCGACAGCTAATGGACTGGTGCAAGGTCAACAATCTGTCTCTGAATGTGGACGAAACAAAAGAGATGATTGTCGACTTCAGGAGAGCGCGGAGCAATCACTGTCCACTGAATATCAATGGATCCTCTGTGGAGGTCGTCAAGAGCACCAAATTCCTTGGTGTTCACCCGGTGGAGAACTTCTCCTGGTCTCTCAACACCAGCTCCATAAACAGGAAAGCCCAGCAGCATCGCTACTTTCTGTGAAAGCTGAGGAGAGCCCATCTCCCATTCTCACCACCTTCTACAGAGGGACTATCGAGAGCATCCTGAGCATCTGCATCACTGTCTGGTATGGAAACTGCACCGTATCGGATCTCAGGACCCTACAGCGGATAGTGAGAACAGCTGAGAAGATCATTGGAGCCTCTCTTCCCTCCATCACAGACACCTATCGCATCCACAAAGCCACCAGCATTGTGGAGGACCTCACACACACTCTTCACCCTCCTGCCTCCCAGGTAATATCCAGCATTAAAGTTTAATAGTTGAGACAAAACCAAGGGGAGTCACATGTACTACATTGTCAGAACAAGTACCAATTTGTAGCTTGTCAATGGGTAAATGTACCTGTTAAGTTACAGAAATGGACAAGGAACATTTTGTACCATCAATTAATGTTTGTACCTTGCAGATATTCCTCACAGTCCATTTCTGTACTTTGAAAGGTACAATTACTTACACTCAGGGTACAATTGGCAGACCCTTGAGGGCACAGCCCCAGTGACAAGCAAGGGTACAAATTGGTATACCGTTTGACAGCGCAGATATGCCACTCCCATGATGTGGAAGAAAAACACAAAAAGAAACATGCAAAATGGTTCACAAACCAAAACATTTTATTGGGATTTTTCCATACAAAGCAACTGTGATGAATATTTGGCCAGAGTCCAGGGTGGCAAAAGGTGAGTGAAATCGCTCAGGTCCTTCAGTGGGTCGCCGAGGTCCTCATTCTGTGCAGGTATGCAGCATCAAGGCCCCTGAAATTCCACGGGGGGAGGGGCACACGCCAGTCGGCAGCGGTGTTCAGGCACTGCTGAGCTCCACGAAGACCACGAGGATATGGGGGTAGGAAGGCCACAGCTGCAATGGAGGGGCCAGTTTACTTGGACCTCTGCCTCATCTTTCTCCTTTTGCGCTTCAGCCTGCGAGGAAAATAAGGTTAAGCAGGGACCCACTCAGAGGGGCAGCTTCACAAATGACTTCGTTAATAGTGGCAACACAAATTGCAATCTACTACAACATTTTGAAGATTACGGTTGTAAGTCTATCTATGCAGGGTCACAGAAGTCTGGAGCCTAACAGTTCTTGATAAACAATGATAAATCCTTTATTGATTTATCAAGAATTCCGTGGTAGAAAATCGAGCATAGAAAATCGGTTGCTTACCTGCGCATACGCTTCTTTCTCCACTGAAACAGAAAGCATTACATTAGATGACACTGGTGCACATTTTAACAAAACTGCGAAGTTCAGTCTGGCATCAAGGCAATATACACCTTTATACATGCAATACTTAAGGCCATTTTAAACACGTGCGACTCTACGGTGCACGCGGGGCCTGGCACGGCGCGGCAGGCCGCACGGACAGCGATACGCTTCGGGTCCACGGTAGCGTGGAAATGGACCCAGACTACTAGTGCACGGATAAGGAATCGTAACATGCACGAAGCCGACTAGTGACGCCGCATATAGATTATTCGCAGTGGCGAATGCAAGGCCTACAGTAAATCAGAGATCGGCCTCAAGTGAGGCGCTTTCAGTACACTATCGATGTACACAACGGCGACACATCGGGACCCCGCTGAACAGCGCAAGATACATTTGAAAGACTATCACATTGAGGCGCATTCACGCAAAATATACCCTTGACGTTTGCGTTGGAGTTCAAATATAGCAATATTTAAAAGAGAAGTGAGAAGGATTACACCGTAAGCAAAAGCCCCTGAAGCTAACGAGAAATCATTTAAGGACAACCATACACAATAAAACTCGTATTTTACCTTCGCTCGCATGTCGTGGAGATGGGTCTGTAAAGAAAAAAAGCAATTTAGTTAAAAAATACAATGGATGGCGCTTAATTTAGCTGGATTATTTCGGATTCATTTAGCAACGGGATAAATTCCTCACCTTCCTAAGATGGCACCAACTCCAAGAGGACGTAATTATTGCAGGCGACAGCTTTTAACGCGCGATGCACGTCACATGGCCAGATGGCATTCTGGGAAATGGAGTTCGCAACATAGAACACGTGGAGAATACTTGACATCATCTTTTGCCCAATTATTTACGCAGCACAATGGCTTTGTGGAACGTAGTCTTGTCTTTCACCTCCTGGGCTGAAGGTTTGATTCTAATCCCGGGTTTGTTTGTGGAGTCGTATGTTCTTCCAGTAACCCACAAGTTTCCTCCAACAGTCCAAAGCATTATGTGAAGTGGCGTCTTTATATTGCACGTAATATATAAAGACTGTGTTAAGAGTGTGCTAGTATTTGCTCTGGGGTGAGTTTCCCGAAGCGTTCTTAACGCTACGTCGTTCTTAAGTTCTGTGTTAAAAGATAGAACTAACGAACGACATAGCTTTAAGAAGGCTTCGGGAAACTCACCCCTGATCTCTTATCCAGATGTAACCCTCCGTTGTATTCTATGCTGCCTGGAACGAGCTCCAGCACGTTCGCGACCCTAACCAGGAAAAAGTGATGGGAAGAGGAATGGTATATTATGCGTTTAGCATTTAGTTAAATGTTATGTGATACTTTTTTTAAACTGTCAGAATACAACTATCGCCATTGTGTGGTTGCATACGTTTGCAAAGATCAAGAAACAATTCACCGACAAAAAGAACGCCGCTCTTATGTCTACCCGGTTTCCATAATAGTCTGATCTTTTCACATTAGCAAGGTATTTACTATTTTTTTTTACTTACTTTTAATTTGGTTGTAATAATCCCTCAGAAATAGAAACACTAACATACCAATTGTCTTCAGTTTGACAGCCATCCCTCGTTTTCACCATGCATACAGCCTTGAACCCACGAAAATTTAACATCCCATATTTCATCTTGTAACCACTAACCACCACTCACATAACTCGCTTCCAGTGTCCAAACCATTAATAATACGCAGTTTATGCCAGTAAATAAACCACACATGTATGCAAGATAGTTTTGTTATTAAAAAGTTTATTACTTTTCCAATTGTCAGTCAAGACCGAAAATAACCTACAAAACTAACAAAACACAAAGATAGGGTTGTTGTTACTTTTTTAAATCTTCCAAGACACAGCAGCTTCAAAGCCCACTTCCCCTAATAAAAATAAAATGTTAATTAGTTTTTTTGAGGACATTAAATAAGCTCTACCATACAGAACACGGAAAAACCGGAGGTAAGAGAAAACACCCAAGAAATTGCGCACGTTTCCAGACACCATGAATTTCATTCAAGGCGGTCTTAAATCTCAGTTGCTTTTATTTCTACTTCATTTAATCCCATATACTTCTTGGACATTATAGGACAGGTAATAAATCCCCACCTTTACTGGAAAATGTGCATGAACATACGTGACGCCAATTCTGTCCACTGGTCGGTTTTAGTAAATTGTATGTGAATTACATACTGGGGTTGTCAATCCGTGGCATTCCTATGAACTAATACATAACAGATGTGGAAAACGGGTCTGAAGCAACAGTGTGCATGTCCAAATTATGCACTTGCAGGGCTGATATTTACTGGTTATAGGATTTTTAGAGCGAAAATACATGCGTTTGTGGTACAACACTGGACACAACACAAATAAACCGCATAAATTTACCAAAAGGAAAGAAGGCATAAAACAAAATCCATTTTGCAAACGAGCATGTCATTAACAAATGCTGTATTTCTGTCCAAAGAAAAGAGAACACAATAGGATTTCACAAAGTCAGGGGCTTTATGATTGTTACATTTGTAAGAGACAATGACTGCAAGTGAGGTATTCCTTTAAGAAAATGATAGGGGACAGATACTGGTCAACATGTTTCAGTAAAGGGGGGGGGGGGTCCCAATCAACAGAAAGAAACGTCTAGTCAGGGGTTTGATGGCAGTAAGTCACAGTCCCGTTGTGTAGTTCACCTTCAAAGGTTCCGTGCTGCTGTGGTTGTCTTGGGTAAGGGCAATTAATTTCAGCATCACAATGCCCGAAATGCCATGGGCCACCTTCCGCAACATAATTTTACAAGCTAGAGACATCTGCTCTCCATAAGTCTTACATTACTAGTCTTTTTTCTGGATTATAAATTGTTTCAGTCATCAAGTTAAATTCAAGCACTTATGGCATAGGGTTGAACTTGTAAAAGTTTAGTTTTTTTTTTCTTCTTAAAAAAAAAAAAATTTAGGTTTTGCTGTTCAATTACACTGTTATTCACTCCAAAAGCATTGCTTTATCAAGGAGGCGAAGCAGCGACATGGAAGGTTTTTATGGACCAAAAAAAAAAATATATAGCAATGTAATTTAAATCCGTTTTATTGATAAAATCTGATTAGGAAAAATGATGTCAGAGGCTTAAGAACATTTTAGGAAAACTCAAACTGTCTCAAGCTTAATTATGTAGCGGTGGCTAACAAATATAATGCAATAGGGTTAAAGAACTTTGCAATGGGGCAGACAGGATTTCTCAGTTCTTTGGAAAGTATGCGTGTGTCTGTGTGTGAGGGGAGCGAGCGAGGCACAGTGGATTACGCAGCCTCGTTCTCCTCAGCCGGTTGTCCGGTAGCATTCTCTGCGTTCTTGGAAGCCTGGGAGGGATAAAAGATGGAGATCAGGCCATGAAAATGGTGACAAGAAGAGCAGAGCAGAAGAGAGCACCCAGCCAGGTTTAAAGTCAAGCCTTTCTACTGCCGAAGGCTTGGCTTCCAGTACCTTCTTTTTCTTCTTCTTCTGCGTCTTGCGACTGGCCGAGCTCTGCAGCAAGGCCTGAAAGGGAGAAGGTTTTGGAAATGGTGAACCCCTTCTAAAATGTACTGAAGGAGATACCTATTAATTCAGAGACGCTCATAATTCAACTGAAAACGGAAGACGTGGAGAGCATCCGCAGGACATTTAACCTTAATATTTATAAAGAAAGGAACATTGCAATGTTCATCGAGAAAAACGGCCTTTAGTGGTACAAGAGATACTGAAGGAAGAAATGCTGTTCTAAAGCATGTGGTAGGTGGGACTTAGACTGGCATAACCCCATTTTCCTTTATTGGCTGCCATCGGTTAAAAGAAGGCGATACTGACGGTGTAAGGGATCCACACCCACCAAAATCACCGAAGCCTCAATTCTGCCCCCCTTGGGCATATCATACAATTCTGCATGGAATCGACACAGTAGGCAGCAGCGTAGCCATGTACCCCCCCCGCTCTCGCCTAATGCACACCTCCACAGAAATTTAAGTACAGGCGTCAGGCTGAGGTGTAGAGTAAGTGTAAACCATCCTTTAGTAAGTTATGACAGCGCCGCGAGGGCAGATGGCCGCTCCAAAGGGGTTCCCCACGTGGCGCCCCGTGTCCTCACCTTCAGGTCTGGGTCCTGGACCTCGTGCTCAGACTTGTAGAGCTCGGGTTCGAAGGGCCCACTGGTGATCCTCAGGGGCCCGTTGGCCATCAGAAGCACCGTGAACTTGAACTGGGCCACGTACTCTCCTAGACGAATGGCAAGACAGTCACACAAGGTGCAGGAGTCCTACAGCAAAGACTCAGATTGTCCCAGTTCTTAAGCAGATGTTGAAGCGTATTAAAATCAAAATTAGTACGAGTACTTATGAAAGCACAGCTTCCCAGAATAGCATGCTACTGGCCACGGGACAGCCAGCTGCTCTCCTGCTTCTATGGTAATGACCAAATGAGGGCTGTGTTGGTTCTAGGCAAACGTATGCTTCCTCAATTTATGGCAACTGGGGGAACAAAACATACCTGAAATATGGAAACGTTTAATAAAATGATATATTCTGTATTATTTTAGCTCCCAGTGATCCCAGCCATATTAATTCTGTGTAGCAACAGTCTTGAGGTTCAAAGCCACCTAACATCACCAACCTTTCCAATACCCCAGACCCACTGTACCCCAGAAGCCCAGGAATCCTGCCATGTGTGTTTGCCTGTCACACAATTTTAATGGAACTAACATCAAGATGGTACAGGCACCTACATCACGACCACATCTATTACTGCTGCATGATTATCACGCTAAGTATCCTCCCAGGGGGACAATGTTTTAGACCCTCTCTTGTCTCTTGACTTGTCTCCAGTCAACAAATGCCATCTGGGGTGGTCTAACAAAATGAAGCCCCCCCCCCCTCCTCAGAGGAACACCTGGCCACACATAACATTTCTACATCTACGTGATCTTCAGTTCTGAGACTGTTCTGGCAGGATGGTGATACTGAGCTTCCTGATACCACTACGAATGATACCATAAACACCTAAGACTCCTTTCCCGCACTGAAATTAATCAAGCTGCATTTAAAAGCCCCATAAAACTGATAATCCAGCCTAAGATACAATGCACCAGTTGTGAGGTGACCCTGGATGGAAACGCCTGGTTAATAATTATCTGCAAGACACTCTACGAGCGGTTTTAAACAAACTCACACTACATCTTAGACTCATATGTTTCAGCTTGAGACCAAAACAGTGATTATTTGATGTGACATTTCCTCCGACAGTAAGGCAGTGTCCCCAAGTAGCCACAGCAGTGCACCTCACCTTCCTTCTCATGGAGCACGTTAAAGGGCTGCAGAAGTTCATGCTTGGCACACTCCACCACACCCAGCCTGGCCTTGCCCTCATCCTCAAACGCCCTGGGGGTGGGAGGTGTAAGAGCAAAGGCAAATCAAGAGTTATTTTTGGGGCAGGGGAGAGCGAGGTGGACCCGAAGGAGTAATGATGAGGAGAGCGCACCGGAGAGTGAAGGGCATGGCGTCGAACCGGCGCTCCACCTCGCTGAAGAACACGCGAGACGTCTTCATCTTCAGCCCATACTGCTTGGTGGGGTCGCGCTTGTAGATGGTGGTTCGCTGCCCGCCGTCCCGTGCCTGGGGAAGTCAGCCAGAGGAAAAAGGGTTCAGCATGCCGGTCTGCATGTCATGGCGAAGGGAGATGTGCACAGTCCCTCACCTTCCCCTCGCCGGTGCTAATCAGGACGTCGATAGCATATACTTCATGGACCTCAAACTCCGCCTTCTCGTGGTCCTTTCTGAAGACGGAAGGCGACATCAGCCAATTAGAATAACTCAACACGAGACTGCAGTAGCAGGCCTACAGTACTATCCACACGGCAGCCGTCTCAAGCCAAACCCTCCTGAATCACCTTTGTTGGTCTGTAGGATTCTGAATAATGGTTTTCTCGCCGTCGATAACATGCTGCTTGAGCTGATGGGACAGCATTCCTGGAAAAGGGAAAAGCAGGCAGTGTTTATATGAAGTAGCTACAGTAGCTAGTCTGTGATAAGGCGGCACTCTGCAACACACACCTTCGATGGGGGTGCACTTGAAGGACTGGGCGATCTTGTTCCAGGCCTCAGTCACCTGTGTGTTCTGGGGGGGGGGGAAAAGGAAAAAAGGCAAATCAACATAAAAAAAAAAAACATCATAGAAAGAGAATCTGGACAACATATAATCAGGACAGAGATCCCAGTCACGGGTGGCTACACAGTTACCCAGAACCCCACTCTGAATCTACCTGGTTTCCAGGTTTGACCAGGCGCAGTGCAGCCTCTGCGCAGAGGTAGGCTGCCTTGATCACATCAGCTTTTCGGCCTGTAATTGGGGCCTCCTACAGAAAAGGCATTAAAGCATGATTTAGGAGAAGTAAGTAAGTACAGACCACAATGCAACAGGAGCAGCGGGGACAGGCCATTCAGAGAAGGCCCTTCCCTCACGCAAATCCCTGTGGCCTACCTTGGTCACCCCAACAACGAAACTGTGAGCCACATTAGAGATAAATCCATCAACGTGGACCCCGAGGTCGCTGAGGAGAGAAAGCGGGAGAGAAAAGTTTAAGCCATTTCAGACACCGAGTGAAAGTCAATGGCTACACACACTTGGAGGAATGAAAGATGGATGGCAAACTTTATTAAATAACTTGCCTTCAAGTGTACAGATTGGAAAAGAATTAAAATGCCACAAACCGAACTAATAATCCTTCTCACCATCAACAGCACAAGTGTTAAAATCTGCACTGTGATGGTGTATTGCAGGGGTCTCCAACTCCGGTCCTGGAAACCTATTGTCCCGCAGGTTTTCTATCCTACCCGGCTTGTGATTAGTCACACCTGTTCTCAGGTAAATACCAGTAACCAGTGTGGCTCATCAGAAGCCAGGTGGGATAGAAAACCTACTGGACAGTAGCTCTCCAGGACCGGAGTTGAAGAGCGCTGGTATACTGTGATGACCCAAACTACGCAATAGCATGGAATGTGGATAAATGCAAGAATATGTGAAAACAGAGCCGCACATTGTAAGACTAGGTCATGCATGACGACTGGAATCAACACATACAGAGTTCACAGCTCAGGTGATGACCAAGAGGGGGGTGTAAAACGAGTGCTTACATTTTGACCAAGTCTCCATCCTTCAGCACGTAGTCAGGATCGCTCTTCAAAGGGGAGAAGTGGCATACAGAGTTATTGACAGACACGCTGGTGGGGAAGGCGATGCCTGCAGAGAGGGGACCGGACACCAGAGAGAGGCCCAAGTTATTGTGTTACAAAGCATTTAGAACAGACACAGCCAGAAACAGCAGCACTCCGCAATCCACCCCAAAGGAAGCGCACCTGTTGCCATAAGGACCCCGTACATCTAACCATCCCATAATTACCCAGATCCCCATGTGTGCTGCTCACCTTTCTTCATCTCTTTCTCCTTCTTAAAGACCTTCCCGGTCTCAGCCATGATGAGGGAGTCTCCCTTCTCGCACAAACTGAGCACGGACACCCCAGCCTCGGCTGCCTCCACCACAGCACGCAAGACCTCTAGACGGGGACAGCAAAGGTACAAGTCAGAACGACCGGAAAAAAGGTTTAACTACTCTAATTTAATGGTGTACATGATGCTGAGTACAAACCAAACGCCACTATTTATTAATATACATTTAAACATACCTGGCCTGCATTTAACGTTTCAAAACATTTTCTAGAGTCATCCATACTTCTTTATAACCTAGTTCAAGTAACAAACTTTGCCTAAAGATACGACAGAGGAATGCATTCTTGAAACCTGGTCCCAAGAATAACACCAAGGCCCACGTCTCTATACACGAGACACCAACAATAAAGTAACTGTCATGTGATCCAAATCTCCATAATTATATGGATAGGTTACAGAAAAAAATTTGCTCTTGAAAAGGCAAGCGATCATTAAATAAAACTTGATATTTGGAACAGTGAACAGTTCGGAGGTTCTCAGTGGTATGAAGTGAGCACCAGCGTTATCCGGTGAGATTAAAGTTAACAACCGGCCACCCCCACCCATCCCGGGTGTATGTGCGTGGGTTGGGGTCACAAATTGCGACCTCGTGTCATTCCTGGAAATTGTACTATCTACCCGTGAAAAGTACTTAAGCACCAGAGAAACAAACGCGCTCCCAGAGGGCCCGCGTGTACCCCTGCCGAACCACGTGTCTCCCCTCCGCCCGAGGCTGCAGGTTAACGCAGCTTACAGAAGTCCGATGCACCTTGTTCACCGCCATGTGCCTGAAAGCCCAGTAGTGGATCATGTGCTGCATGGACGGCGCAGTATGTCGTCTAGGTTACGCTCCTGTCCCGCCGGTCGACTTGAAGAGCTTTCTCAGCGCCATTTCTGCGGCCGAATCCGGCAGGGTTCACATCTGCCCGGCCGCCTACTAGCAAGGCGGAAACCGGCCGCACTAAACCCGGCTTCAATGAAGTAGCAGCCAGACGTCGACCGAACTTATTGTGCTCCACTGGAGCTAACGGATCGGCGACGGCCTATGCAGGTGATCAAGCCAGTCGGGCGGCCTCCTTTACCAGCCCGCCGGCAATAACGCGCCTATCTGGCGGATCTCACGGGTAGCGCCACCTCGCTAATAGGAGCACGGCCATCAGCGTGCGCCCTGCACGCCTTGCGCCGTCACAGCTAGGTGGCTCTGCGCGTCCCCAGCGTCGTGGCACATGGCCGCGGCAGGGTCCGGCTGCTCGCCTACGGGTCACCTCGCACCGGGGAAAACGCCACCACCGTCCTCCCGGTCAAACTCAGCTGGCATTCACTTACGGTTGGCGATGTCGCCGCCCATTTTATACTTGGTAACAACCAAGTCCTCGGCGATGGTCTGCTCTTGCTGCTCGTCGTCGGACATGTTTCCGAATCGTTCTCTCGAGCAACTTTCTATCAACGCTTCGGCCGCGGGATCAATCAGGAGAGGCAGGCTCAACTCCGCTGTTTCGGCCCAGCCTCCTCCGCCCAGAGTTGGTCACGCCCACAGCGTGACTACGCACGCTGCGTTGCGATAGTCAACCGCCAAAAGGAGCATGGCATCTTGGGAACGATTGTAGTTCTTAAACTTGCAACGGTATTCATGTTATCATAAGTTCCCCTGAGTCGTGGAACCGAGAATGGGATGAGAATTATTATTATTATTATTATTATTATTATTATTATTATTATTATTATTATTATTATTATTATTATTATTCCGATTGTTTTATTACGATTATTATTATAATCATAATTGGGATGGCACCGTGGTACTGTGGTTAACACGATTACCTCACACCTCTTGGACATGGGTTCAAATCTCCATGTATGTGGAATTGGCATGTTCTCCCTGTGTCATCGTGGGGTTTCCTCTGGGTATTCCAGTTTGCCCCCACACAGTCTAAAAACATGCTGAATTTAATTGGCATTGCCCATGTGCGTAAATGGTGTATGAATGTGCCCAGCAGTGGGTTGATGCCCCATACTGGGTTTTCCCTGCCTTGTACTGAAGCACACCACATAGTAATGGTAAGAAAAGGAGTCATTTCAGATGTTTGATCCCATTAGCACTTTAACTCAAAAAGACAAACCACAGCGAAATTGAAGGAGTACTCAATAGTGATATCAAAGAGAAGGTTAGTTCAGACACTTGATGTTGTCAGCATGATTACTCAGAACTTGTTTGCCTGATCTTTTCAATACTTCACAGGCACATTGCATGGGTGAAGATCTGGACTTGTTCAGATTTTGAGGAAAATCACAAAATGCAAGCTTAGTAACAGCAAACAGGAGGATGAGATTAATTGAGGCGTATCCTTGTAAACAGGATAATTCTATTTGTCATAGTTTACGTCATTGACCAGGAGAGGCAAAATTGAAACTACCCCAATCCACCTTAATGAAAATCTAAAAATGATCACTTGATCAGAGCCAAAATTGCAACTGCACCAACAGAGGGCAGCCGAGAGTGAAAACAGAACCTGCAGCTGCCATCTTGGGTACACTGATCTGTCTTCCAAACTTTTTTTTGTGGATCTTTGGTGAGTAATTTTAAAACTGCGGGGCACGAGGTGAGTTTCTGAATATTCTTTAATAATGTCTGCCTTCATTTTTGGTTGCTAGCCTCTCAGTTTAGCAAATTTTATCCATAGCAGTGCAATAGCTGGTCGGCACGGATAAATGGCTTTGGTCCTGATCCCATGCTTCATCCTCAACTGTTTGAATACATACTATATGGACAAAATATTAGGACAGACCTTTTAATCATTGAATTCAGGTGTTTCATTCAGACTCATTACCACAGGTGTATATCCTCCTGAGACCCAAGGAAAAAAGTGTTCATCAATTTTAAGTTATTTGTCTTTGGAGGAAATAAGACATCTTACAATTTAGATTTTTTTAAAATTTATTTTTATCTTTAATTTCACAGCATGTCCTCTTTAGTGTACAACAGGAAAAAATATGTTTCCTTACATCAGTGAAAAGATAGATGCAAAAACAAAATGTCCACTACAATTAGTGTTGTAGTCAAGACCGCCTAAACCGAGACCAAGACATTGCCGAGACCGGAGGGTATCAAGACCAAGACACTGCCGAGACTTGAGGGTACCAAGACCAAGTCCAAGACCAAGACCAAGACACACTAAGGCGAGACCAAGATCAAGACTGGTCGAGACCAAGACCAAGACCAAGACCGAAAACAGACTAGGGCTAGAATCGACATCACATTACCCAGATCAACTGTAGAGAAAAAAGGCATTGCTGTAAAGTGTCATTACTCGTTAAATCAAATTCATGTTATCTTTTCAATTATATTGTCCGTATGTCCATATGTCTCTCATTTAAAATCTCCCAGATTTGTCACAGTTACGAGACCTGATAGAAAATAATATTCTCAGCAATCCTCTCCTATAACCATTTTATCAGACCTCGTCAAGGGAAAGAGATGGGATGTACCAGAAAGATGTTCATATTAAGTCTCTTATACCAGGGACAGAGGCCTCGGGTAAGCTATGAATACAGCTATGTAATGATCCTTTGCTTTGAATTGAAGAGAATGAGCCTCCAGATTGACTTGCACCTCCAAGACCGTGCTTTCTAATCAATGTAAAATACCTAATTTATTTGAATTATAACTATGCTATAGACTTCGCGGATATTTTCGGACATTTTTCTGCCGATGTATGATACGATGTGTATGATGTGTGTGGACTGTGAAGCACTGGCAGTGTCCGTGGAGAAAATGTATAAAATGTAACGTTTTTGAAATGGATGCATCTGACTGGTTGCATTTGAATTGAGGCGCGTAATAAATAATGATACTGTTCTGTGAGGATGTGCAGTTTTCTCTTTTTTTCCCCATCCCATCGAGACCGCTATGTCCGAGACCAAGACAAGACCGAGACCAAATAGAGTCGAGACCAAGACAAGACCGAGACCAATTGGGTCGAGACCAAGACAAGACCGAGACCACAAAAAATTGGTCTCGAGACCAAGACCGGTCTCGAGAACTACAACACTAACTACAATGGACATAAATGAATGGGTGGGGTCTCAGGAGGATAAAATCAAGGACCTAGACATGCAGCCAGGTTTGTGTAAGAATTCAGTGTGAGTACAGTACTGTCACAGGATGCCACCTTTGCAATAAGTCAGTTCGTGATTTTTTTTTCCTGCTAGAAGCGTACGTGAGTTACATGTACTTTGTGTCTATAAAAAAACTGTCTGTGGCCCTATTTACACATTTTAATAATTTAAATTTAGCATCATATAATGTGTACAGGCATGTAATGTGTTCACATAATTTTTAATATTTCTGCAGGTTGCAGTTTTGAAATAGACCTACCCCCCCCCTCCAACCCCCTACACAGGTCAGTCTTTATCCCCTCACTTGTGCCCCCCCTGCAATTCTTTCATGTCTTTTTTTTATGTCAGAAAATTTTGGTCATATTGCAAAAGAACAAAAAATACAGAAGATCCATGGGAGCGTAAAAATTTGCCAGTAGTACTTGGCACATTATTAAAAATGCTACATTAATAAATAAAATAAAATAATTAAATATATTAAAGTTAAAACGTTACTGCAAGAAACACAAGATTCCACAGTAAAAGAGAGTGAGGTTGGTTGCCACACAACCCATGACATGTATAGCTGTTTTTTTTTTTTACCAAAATTACTTAATACTGCATTACAGACAACTTACACATGAATAAATATTAAATAGCACTAATATTTGTATGTTTACTTTTATGATGCCAATCAAAAAAGAATAAACAAATACATTTGTCTGACGTTTATTCTTGCTCAATGTTTGGTTAGTTTTATTTTTTTCTCATCTTCATAACTCTTGCCCTGGATTTAATGAAAGGCTTTTGTTAATTACGTGAATAAATGGTAATATAACAAAACTGATCATCCCAGAGGCAAAAATCGACAGTTTAGACAATTAAGTTATATAATTTAAGTCTGTCTTCATACTTATTTTAATAGAGAAAATTGATATGCTACAGTAATGAATTGTTTATTAAATTTTTATTAAGTGACTTTCAATTTTAGGTGTGATTAATCATGACTAATCAAAGAAAACTGTGCGATTAATGAGTTTTTTAAATCAATTCATAGCCCAAAAACACAAAACAACTTACTGTACTGTCACAGCAGCAAATGTGGCTCCATGAACTTTCCCAATTGTACATTAGCACAGAAATCACAACGGAAAAATCCAAACACGTGTAGGAGCTTTGATTCCATAGAAAAGTAATTTATTTATCGACCATGATAAAAACCTCAAATACAACAGAATTAAGTAATTACAAAAAGTGTAAAATGGAATGTTACAATTTGTTCATTTAGTAAAACATACCATCCTCTTCGACTGGCCACGATCTCCTCCTGAGCTTTTCATACTGTGAAACACTTCATCAAAAAGCACATGCATCGGTCCCAGTGAGTGATTACAACCTGCTGAACCAGATGAAAATGAGAACACACACGCTGACGTTCTCATGGGACTGATACCAGTGCGTAACATCAAGTCTGATTTGTGGGTCCCCTCTGTCCTTCATCAGCTTCAGAAGCACGAATAAAGCACATGTATCTTTGGTGTCCTTCATTTAATGCCTCGCAGGTTGAATCGATGTGTCTGAACAATACAGAAGCTGCTGCTTTAGCCTCGCCCCCCGCCGCCTTTCGGCTCTCTCCTTGTCACTATGTTCGCACGGCATCCGGCTTCAGGAACATTCTGCTGTGCCAGTAGTTCGGATTGTTAAAGGACCGGTCGGCCCCGGGTTCGCCCACACCGGCACGCACCTTCACAAACCCCCCCAGCTCCGAGCTCTGGCTGTCCCTAGGCCTGAGAGAGCCCTTGTCCTCCATGTGGATGTTCTGGTATTCCACCTGGTCCCCCACCATCCTTACAGAACCCATTTCTTCATACTCATACCCATCCAGATCCCTGCTCCCCCTGCTTTTTAAGGTTCTGCTCAGTCTGGGCTGTTGGTTCATATACTGGTACTCTTCATCCTCATCTTGTGCAATATCCTGTCCTTCTACACCATTCTCCACTGGCGTCCTGTCTCCTGCCTCTGTTCCTGTTGCACTGCTGTTCCTCTTCAAGGATGCGGCCGTGCTCTCACTTCTGCCCGCCCCCACATCACAGATGTCCATGTATTCATATTCCACGGCTTCCGGCTCCCGCCTTCGATGCCATTCCCCCCTTTTGCCAAGGTCGGCTTCAGGGACACTTGCACCTCTGTTCCTTCTCATTGGCAGGAACTCTGCTGTGGAAGCTACCCCCTCAATGGACAGCGTCCTGTGCCGCCTGGCAACGTTTCTGTCTGAGAAGAGAGGCTCTCTGCTCTCTCTCTCAGTGTCTCCCTCTGCTGGGGAGATGCTTACATTGCAGGTCGGGGAGAGAAAAGCGGAGAGCTGTCTCCTGCCTTTGCCATGCATCAGTAATCCGTCATCGAGATCATCAGCGGAATGGCTGATGGACCCGGGAAGCAGACCGG